TTCAAGACCTGTCCTCCCTCAGAGTTCCTCCTTTTTTTCCCACAGGACCCTACTCAGGGTTTCCCACTTTCAGAGTCACCCCCCCCAACCCAATGGTCTTTCCCAGTAAAGAACTTTCTCAGCAATGGCCCACTCTGGCCTTTTAGCCCATCTCAGAGCTGCTCCCCTCCAAAAAAAATAATCAAATGGATACAGTACCCAGTTAGGGTACTTCCCCAAAGCTCAGTGATCTCCACTTCTTGTGGTCCAAGGTATCATTCCTCTGGTCCTCTCTCTAACATGAATTAATGGTATTACTCATTCAGGGACTTCTTTACCCCAGGTGTAATTACCCCTAATCATCCAATGGTACCTGCCCCCTCTTGGGATCCACTACCAGCACCACACACAGGATCTCCCCTTCCCAGGAACAATAACATGTGGGGTCTTTCCCCAACCCCCTGGCACAATGGTATCTCCCACAAATATGTCCACCTCCCAGCGGGTTATGTTATGGCCCTCTCAAGGGCTCCCCCCATTATGACGTAAATGACCCAACGCCCACTTCCTTCCTCTCTAGACAAAATGGTTTCTCCCTCTCAGGATCTCCCCTCGAACCCTAACGTTATCATCATCCACCCGTGGTGTCCTCCCACACAGGCCAAAGGTCTCATCTCCTCCAAGTCTGAGTAACGAATCCCCCACTCTAGGACTCTTTCCTCTGCCCATAGAGCTCACAGAATTCAACCCCTTAGAGCCCAATAGTATCTCGGAATTCAATAGCCTCACCACTCAGAGCCTCAGTTTCCCTTCTCCGGACCAACCCCTTAGACTCAAGGTCCATCCCAACCAACCCCATCTCAGAGCCTGTGGCCTGATCTCTCTCTACTCCGCCCCCAGTAGCCCAGCCCGGTGGTCTTTTCCCCGGTGAGCAGCACCTGCATCCGTTGAAACTCCTCCTCGGACAGAGCTTGCGCCATGTTCCTCCCCCCTCCCCCCCCCAACAGCTTAATGCGCAGACGCAGCTCCTTCTACTGTCATAATGAGGGTGGGACCGAACCACTGGCCGGGAATTGAGGGGGAGGAATCGATTCCGGAAGTTCAGCGTTTTGGAGACGGAGAGAAAAGAATGAAACTGACAGGTCTGATTAATTGTAATTTAATGTTTTACCAGGCTCTAGGTCATCTGGTCTAGCGTTCGAGCTCTCATAGAATATCCATTTTGATGCGACACTATGGCCTCCCTGTGTCATGGGTGGACTCGTCGGGAAGGAAGTTTTTGCCGACAGAAAATCACCCTTCCACGGTTCTCCTTTAATGAGAATGGTTGACTTAATAACCTGAGAAATGAAAGCGGAAGCACTGCCTCCTCTTGTTCCCGCCCTCCCCCGGTGACTCGAAAGGGGAATCCCGCCTCCTGTGAAGCCCTTGTCCCTTTTCTTTTCTTTCTTTTTTTTTTTTTTTAGATTTGACGTTGATTTTCTTAACGTGATGATGTACATCCTGTTAAGTAAAAGACCTCACTACCAATAAATTTAAAATACCCGAGAAGAATAGCAGTGAATCAAACGAAAAAGCTTCATTAAAAACCAAAACAAAACAGAAACAAAAACAGGATGGCGAAACACCAGGAATATTCAAATTTAAGTATTAAAGCGCATTATAAGCCCCTCTTGTGGGCCCTGGCCAGGGAGCTCTTTTTAGAGCGTCATTCCCATACTCCAAGGTTGCCGGTTGGATCCCTGGTCAGGGGACACAAAAGAATTAACCAATGAATGCATGAATGGGTGGAACAACTGTTTCCGGTTGGATCCCTGTTCAGGGTACACAAGAGAATCAACCAATGAATGCATGAATGGGTGGAACAAGGAATTGATGGTTCTCTGCCTTCCTCTCTTTAAAATCAGTTTTTGAAAAAAAGCATCTCTTGTGCTTTCTGGCCCCTCTCTGCAACCCCCCGCTAGCCAACAGTAGTTTTTATTTGGGAAATAAAGAAATAGTATGGTTAGCAGCAACATGTCAGTACTAGGACACTCACTATTTTATTTATTTTTCAGGGGAGAGGGAACTTAATTTTGATATAATTTTAAACGTAAAGCAAGAATGGCACAAAGAAATTTCATGTACACTTTACCCAGATCCGTCCATTGTTTACATTTTGCCAAATTTGCTTTATCATTACCTCTCTATAAAATTTTTGAGCCATGAGCTTTAGCATTGGTTGATGATTGCCTAACACCAACATTCCTTTGATATTTAATAGTTGCTGTTTTACTGTAAGGAAGAGCTTTCTCTTCTCCCCCATTTATGTATGTATTTATGTCTGTAGACTCATATTCTTATTTTTTCAATGAATTATAATCAGTCACTATAATTATTTCCTTTGACCCTCAAATTGTCCCAGATTTGGCCAGTGGGAGTTCCTTCAAATTGAGTTCTGTGTCCCTTTGACTTGCCCATATCATTTTTTTTTCTGTCACTACAAGATGCTCCAGACACATTTTTCCCAGCCTTCATTGCTACTGAAGTGTAATTGTTTCTAGGCCCTTTCAGTGTACAGAGCTATGAAGTGTATGTGTGTATTCTAATTCATGTGTACACACACCTATATCTATTTTTATGTTTTGGTATAGGTGTACATATTTTTAAAACATAAGTTTATGCCCTAGCTGGTTTCGCTCAGTGGATAGACCATTGGCCTGGGACTGAAGGATCCTGAGTTCAATTCCAGTCAAGGGCACATGCTCAGGTTGTGGGATCGATCCCCAGTAGGGGGCCTGCAGGAGGCAACCAATCAATGATTCTCTCTCATCATTGATGTTTCTATCGCTCTCTCTCTCTCCTTTCCTCTCTGAAATCAATAAAAATATTTTAAAAATAAAATAAAACATAGCCCTGCCCTAGCTGGTTTGGCTCAATGGATAGAGCGTCAGCCTACAGACTGAAGGGTCCCAGGTTCAATTCTGGCCAAGGGCACATGCCTGGGTTGAGGGCTCGATCCCCAGTAGGGGGCATGCAGGAGGCAGCCGATCCATGTTTCTCTTTCATCAATGTTTCAAACTCTCTATCCCTCTCCCTTCCTCTCTGTAAAAAATCAATAAAATATTTTTAAAAGTTACTTGAGTTAGTTCTACCCCTCCCCGCCGCCTTCAATGAAGATGTGTGATTCATTTGAAATACAGTTGGGTTTCATTGTTTCTGTTGGAATTCCATTTTGCACTCCCCACCTTTGTTGAAGTAACCAATCCCTTTACTTTCTGGTTTATCCTTTCTGTGGTTTTGGCACAAATGAGCAGATACATGTATATTATCTTATTTATCCTACATGAAGAATAGGATACCTGCATTGTCTATTTGATAATCTCTCTCCACTATGTAGTACCCTATTTTGTAGATGTATCATAACTTAACCACTCTCCTATGTTTGCCCATGTAGGTAGTTGCCAATATTTTACAATTATAAACAACTAGAGGCCCGGTGCACAAAAATTTGTGCACTTGGGAGGGTCCCTCAGCCTGGCCTGTGCCCTCTCACAGTCTGGGACCCCTCGGGGGATGACCACCTGCTGGCTTAGGCCTACTCCCCGGGGGATTGGGCCCAAGCTGGCAGTCAGACATCCCTCTGGCAGCCCGGCAGCCCTAAAAAGAATGTCCACTTGCCAGCGGGGAACAGGCCTAAGTTGCAGTCAGTCATCCTTAGCGCTGCTGAGGAGGCAGGAGAGGCTCCCGCCACCACCACTGTGCTGGCAGCAGTCAGCCTGGCTTGTGGCTGAGCAGAGCTCCCCCTGTGGGAGCACACTGACCACCAGGGGTCAGCTCCTGCATTGAGCATCTGCCCCTTGTGGTCAGTGTGTGTCATAGTGACCAGTCATTCCCAGTTGTTCTGCTGTTAGGGTCAATTTTCATATTACCCTTTTATTCTATAGGATAGAGGCCTGGTGCATGGGTGGGGGCAGGCTGGTTTGCCCTGAAGGGTGTCCCGGATCAGGGTGGGGGTCCTGCTGGGGTGCCTGGCCAGCCTGGGTGAGGGGCTGAGGGCCGTTTTCAGACTGGCCACACCCCCTTCAGGGTGGGGGTCCCGCTGGGGTGCCTGGCCAGCCTGGGTGAGGGGCTGATGGCTGTTTGCAGGTTGGCCACAGCACCTTCAGTGTGGGGGTCCCCGCTGGGGTGCCTGGCCAGCCTGGATGAGGGGCTGATGGCTGTTTGCAGGCTGGCCAAGCCCCCCAGCAGGGACCCTCACCCATGAGGGTGTGGCCAGCCTGGGTGAGTGCCTGATGGCTGTTTGCAGGCTGGCCACAGCCCTTTCAGGGTGGGGGTCCCCCAGGGGTGCCTGGCCAGCCTGGGTGAGGGGCTGATGGCTGTTTGCAGACTGATCACAGCCCCTTCAGTGTGGAGGTTCCCACTGGGGTGCCTGTCCATCCTGGGTGAGGGGCTGAAGGCCATTTGCAGGCTGGCCACATTTCCTTCAGGGTGGGGGGTCCTCCTGGGGTGCCTGGCCAGTCTGGGTGAGGGGCTGAGGGCCATTTTCAGGCTGGCTAAGCCCCCCAGCAGGGACCCTCACCCCATGAGGCTGGGGCCATCCTGGGTGAGGGGCTGATATCTGTTTGCAGGCTGGCCACGGCCCACAGCTACCCAAGCTCCCAGTGGAGGCTTGCTGGAAGCAGGTATCTGGGAATTATTTATCTTCTATAATTGAAACTGTGTTGCTATGAGCGGAGGCCACAGCCAGCTCAGGGCAGGCGGGAAGCTTGGCTTCCTCCATCGCCTGGGCAACCAAGCCTCCTGCTTGCTCCAGCTCCATGGCTGCCAGCCGCCATCTTGGTTGGGTTAATTTGCATATAGTCGCTCTGAGTGGCTGGTGAGCGTGGCTTGGGGCATAGCGAAGGTACGGTCAGTTAGCATCTTTGTCTTTGATTAGTGTAGATGCCAAAAAGAATACCCTTGTCTATATATGTATTTTCATATTATCTGAGGTGTATCTTCAGGGTAAATTCATAGAAATAGGATTGGTACATCAAAAAAGTATAAAAGTTTTGCCCTAGCTAGTTTTGCTGAGTGGATAGAGCATCAGCTAGGGACTGAAGGATCCAGGGCTTGATTCCGGTCAAAGGCACATGCCTGGGTTGAGGGCTTGATCCCCAGTAGGGGATGTGCAGGAGGCAGCTGATCAACCTCTTATCATTGATATTCCTTTCTTTTTTTATATATATATATATTTTTAAAAGTAGTGAGATCCCAAATCGAGACTCTTTTTTTAAAAAAATATATTTTATTGATTTTTTACAGAGAGGAAGGGAGAGGGATAGAGAGTTAGAAACATCGATGAGAGAGAAACATCGATCAGCTGCCTCCTGCACACCCCCTACTGGGGATGTGCCCGCAACCAAGGTACATGCCCTTGACCGGAATCAAACCTGGGACCTTTCAGTCCGCAGGCCGACGCTCTATCCACTGAGCCAAACCGGTTACGGCTCTTTTTTTATATTTTTACTAGAGGCCTGGTGCACGAAATTCGTGCACTGGGGGATGGGGTTCCCTCAGCCCAGCCTGCCCCTCTCACAGTCCGGGAGCCCTCAGTGGATGTCCTACTGACGGCCACAGTCTGGCACCAGAGGTTCAGAGCAGGCGTCCTGTCTGTGTGTGTGTGTGTGTGTGTCCCCGCTGGGGGCCTGCCCCTAGCCGCGTCGGAGGCTCAAAGCAGGCACTGTGTGTGTGTGTGTCCGCTGGGGGCCTGCCCCCAGCCTCATCGGAGGATCAGAGCAGGTGCCCCGTGTGTGTGTGTGTGTGTGTGTGTGTGTCCCTGTTGAGGGTCTGCCCCCAGCCACATCGGAGGCTCAGAGCAGGTGCCCCGTGTGTGTGTGTGTGTGTGTGTGTTTGTGTGTGTGTGTTTGTGTGTGTGTGTTTGTGTGTGTGTGTGTGTGTGTGTCTGCTGGGGGCCTGCCCCCAGCTACACCGTGGAGGCTTGGAGCAGGCGCCCCTCTGTGTAGATCTCTCAG